CTCCTCGGCGCATGCGCGCACGGCCCTGTACTGTGCAGCCGCCTGCCCTTTCCCTCCTGCTTGCTTCCCCTCAGATGCCGATGGCGGCGAGTGACGCGGAAACGGCCCAGCAACAAGCAACAAGTGAGCGGCGGTGGGGGATGAGCAGGGCTGCGGGTAGCAGTGCCTGTTTGCTCGGGGTGTCACGGTCCCCCTCAGGCAGGCAGCATGAGCGCCGCGTCGAAAGCGGTGGCGTTAGGCGGCTTGTGGTGAACCCCGGGCTTGTGAGGAGCTCCGTGCCCCTGGGCCGCGGTGCTGGCCAAGTGGCAGCGCGATTGTCTTTGTTCGGGCACGAACGGGTGACTGCACGTTTGCACCGAAGAGCCATTTCAGGTGTCTGATTTCTAGGTGGAAGATGGCTGTCCGGTTTTTAAGGGAATTTGCTGGATAAATTTATTCAGTCTTAGTAAGAACTAGTGCCAAGGCCTTGGGGTTTTTCTCCTGCTGAGGGATGCCCCAGCTAGGAGTAGCATTGGTTGGGAGCTGCAGGGATGTGTTGTAGCTGCTCCATGTCCCTTTACTCGCCTTGTCACTGCTGAGAATTACAGGATTATCCATAGAAATGCAAAAGCTGGTGTGTGTACAGAAGAACTGAGCAAAGTTTACTTATGCTGTGAGTTGGGACTGGATCCCCAATATTTATGGCCTTCCAGTGTGCTGAGTCTTGTCACGTTTGTCAATCAGCTGTAGAAGAGCAAGACTTAAAACTCTGATTGGCACACAAGGTTGTGGGCTTTGGGGGTATTTATTTATTTTTGCGTAATGCTTTTTCTAGATTGATGAAATTGAAGCCCTTTCATCCATATATGGTGAAGATTGGTGTGTTGTTGACGAAGATGAAAAAATCTATTGCATTAAGATTAATGATTGTCTGGATCAACCAAAATGGACCCTCTGTCTGCAGGTATAGTGGTGTGAAGGAGTTTGGCACAGAATTTGCAGTTAGACTGATGCAGGCAAAATCTTGTGCCTGCATGAAACCCTTTTAAATAGGATCCATTATCTACTTAGATGAATTAAGGAGCTTTTGGATTGGAATCTGTGATAGACTTTTCAGTGATTCTTCCTGTAACACATCAATGTCCTTGTGATATTTTCAGTAGTTACATATCCTAATTCCATACCTGACAAAAACTAATTTCAGTGTTATTCTCCAAAGACTAATTTTTAAAATATTTTTTACATTGACTTTGTGTCGAGGTGTACTTTCACCTCAGTGAATTTGCTGCAATTGCTTCTAGATTTACTTTCTGGAAAGTGTGGAGACAAAACGAAATTCGGATCAACTTAACTAAGAAACTTGCTACTTTATGTTTACAGAACTGAAAACAATAAGTTTACTTAGTGGAAGAAAAACTGAAGTGTCTACTTATGCAAATGCAGTGCCACTTAAATAAATCCAGTAACCATGTATGCAGCTCCTTTCAAATTTCTTCTGCACTTTATTTGCATGATGCTTCATCCACAAAAATCGCACCATGAAATATAACATTTGTATGCATTACCATTATTGGAATCCTAAATACAGATATTCAGGTTTTCTTGTCATTCTGTAACAGCATAGTCAACTATTTTCTTCATTTGTAACACTGATTGTAGTCCTAATGCTCGACATCGGAGTCCATCACTAAAGCTCAGCTAGCTGAGAGGGGTAGTCCAGTAAATACTTACCCTGAATTTCTTTCAGGTGATTTTGCCGCCAGGATATCCAACTGCAGAGCCACCTATTTATCAACTAAAGTAAGTGAAGTTTTCTTTCAAACATTTGTATTTCTTTTCTGAGTTACCACTGTTAATTGTTTACAGTGCAAGTTGAAGTTTAGTTAAGATGACTCCTTGAATTAAACTATACCAGGGATGAGGGATGTTTCCAGCAAGAATATTCTATTCTTTCACCTGAGTTAGCCTCACAGAGCTCCTTATGACAGTTTGTTCTCTTCCCTCAACTCTAATTCTTGCAGCATAATTTTGTGGCAAGGCAGCAATTAGACTGTGGAGGTATGGTGGCTGCTGCCTGTTGTGTAGGATAGTGATGTCTCATTGCTTCCTTGGGTGTACCCCTCTTGTCTGGATCCTTGTTTCAGATTGTAAGGCATGCTTTTCATCTGAGCACTGACTCTTGTTGGGATGGAGCCATGGCGTGTGCCATCTTCCTATTTTCCTTCCCTGCTCTCCCCTTGTCTCCTGACATGTAAACGAGATGGGAGTGGAGAAGTGTAAGCCAGGTCCAGGGCATGACACACAGCATATCTACTGAGTTTTGGTCAGCAATATTGACAAGGCAATACAAAATAGTGCTGGTAAACTTGAGGCAAAGTTTATAGTTTAACATGAGACCAGGAGGATACAGGTGCAGAACTGAAGGGTCATTCTAAATATAATAGGTACTATGGTGCTGAAGGAGTTGGAAAGGTAAACTAATAATACATAAGGTGACTCTGGAGTGACAATGGCCTACCATGAAAAACGAGTCCAGCTTTCTTACCTGAGGTAAGGAAAGGCAGCCCAAGTTAGGAGCCTTGAAGGAGAACTGGGTGATCATGTTTTTACTAACATGTTTACAACTGAAATCTTGTTAATTGGGAATGATTGGCAATGTTTTATTTTCAAGGTGTTAATCACATTTATTTTAAAATGACTGTTGAGATGTTGGAATCAGCATATGGGCACAATTTTCATTGTATTTCTTCTCATTCTAGTGCCCCTTGGCTTCGAGGACAAGATTATATGGAACTAGCAAATAGCTTGGAAGAAATATACGTGTAAGTTAGAGACTGTGGAATATAAAAGGAGACAATGTATTTTCAGTTTCATGCCCTGCTGAATGTATGCTTTTGAAGTACCTGGATGAACTAGTAGTTGTGAACTGATTGCTGCAATGGCCATAAACCAGCAAGTTTCTTTTATAAATCTAACAGTTAAAGATGCCGTGTATTTACTAAGCATTTTGCAAGAATGAATTGTGTTAAACTCTGACAAATTTCTCTTATATTGTTTAGACCTGGTGTTCTATAAGGATAGAAGTCTTCATTTTGACTCCCTTTAGAGTCTATGAGATTGCTTATGAATTGGTGCTATGAAGTATGAGATTTCTGCATCTATTCTGTGTTTGAATGTTAGACGACAGGATATGAAAAACATTTGTTTGTGTCTTAGAGCATAAGTGGCAAAACAGTTTTTCTTAAAAGATAGCTAAGGGATAAGTAGGTTTTAAAACAAATTAAACACACGTAGAATCTATTAACTAGAATCTGTAACATAGCAGACTGTTTATTATCACAGTGTGCAGCTAACAACAATGCATAATGAATGCATGAGAATAAACGGAACATTTAGAAATACTCAAATTACATGTTTTTGAATTGCTGTGAAACTGGGGTAGTAAATGTAGTAATTTTATATGGTTTATTTAGTTCTTTCAGATCCCAAAGATAATATAAACTAAATGAAATGAAAGCATGTCATAAGGAAGCACAGTCATGCCCAAAATACTGAAATCTGAACATCTTGCATAAGAAATGTTTTTTAATGCCATAAAATAAGGAAGAGAGCACTTAGCTTGCATGAGGGTTTTTTATCTAATTACTCAGTTACTTTGATTGACTGGGTTTCTTATCTAATTAAGCAACAGATAATTTAAGCAAGTAAAATTGAATTTGAAGTGTTAAAAATGCACAAGGATTTTAAGTGAAAAGTTCTATGGGATCATATTAACCACAGTTGTTCAGTGGAGCAAAAAGGGCAGAGATAGTCCTTAGCTCTGTCCAGATTCATAGGATTTGCTGGAGTCTTTACCAGAGGTAGAGCTGCTGTAGGTGGTTCTTCAAATGTCCTGTGCATCTGGCGCAAGTTGCCACATGAGGACTGTGAGGAGAAATAGCATGGTTGTGAAGCACTTTTTTCTTTTTTTTTCTTCCCCCCTTTTTTTTTTTCTTTCCCCCTGCAGTTTTGTAGACTGTTAAATTGGGCTAGTTTGATCAGTCCCGTGCAGCTCCGTTCTGTCATATCAGTTGCTGTTCAGAGCCCTCTCTGGTCTCCTCTCGTTTTTGTTTGTTCTTTTTTGCAGGAAATGAATGTGTTTGTACTTTAGGCCATGTAAGTAATTTTAGACTGTTTAAAAACCTTCTGGAGTAGTCATTGATGCGCAGTGTTTGTGAAAGCCTTTTATCTATCCAATGTCTAAATAGTTATCAGGTAAACAGAGGTACTCTGCATTGTTTACAATGTGTGTTTTACCAGGTTTCAAGTCCCTAGTGATCTAAATTGCTTAGTTCTGCAATCTAAAACAGTATGAACTATACTGTCCTTCACTGTCTTCTCAAGGAGGTGGAAAAAGCAGATAATTAGAGATCACAAGTCTGTTTTGGGAGACCCAAAATTGTTGGAAGTTAAAAATGTAGCAAATACTTGGATTTCCTCCCCTCCACCCCAGATATTCTTCTGGTAAGACTTTTATTCAGTACAAAGCTTTGTTTCAAGACTTAGGCACAAGTGACAAGAAAAATAGCAACATAGAAAGGTAACCTTTGAGACTAAGTGTAATTTGTGAATAGACGGAAACTGAAATTGTGTTGTAACTGAAGAAATTGCTATTTACTTGCATACAACAGAGATATCTTATTCATTATCTAATCTCTCATTCCATCATTAAAACAAATATAGTTCTTCACATATTAAAGTAGTGCTTCTGTATGATAAGAAGCAGCATGAAATGAGAGCATTGAATTGTTCTGGAGTCTGTCCAGATTTTGAAGACAGAGCTACAAGGTTGTAAATTATTTTTGCTTGAATATTTTTCTTAAAATACGTATATTTGTTTGACTTTCTGATTGCATTCAGGAATAGTGCTGTATACATTAACTAAAGTAAGAGTTTAAAAATGTAATTCCGTCACTGGTATGTACTTATGTGGTGCCCCAGATGGTGGCAGTAAGAATAAAATTAAGAAGAAACCATGAGTTACTGACAGGTCTAAATCTTTAGTTTTGTTTTTGAGACAAAGATGCACAGTTCATAAACATATTAAAATATAATTACAAAGGCAACTTCTCAGGACACCATTTTAAATATATTTTGGGTTGTTTGGGTCCTGCTGCACATTAAGGCAGCATTTCTTAACTCTGAATATGCACATAAAAACGTGTTCATCCCATCCTCCCCCAGTACCTTAATACAGACCTGTGCCCCCTGACTGAGGACTCCTAGACCTAAATCCTTACTTCTCTGTCCTATAGGACTGCTTGTTACCCAAACTCTAGCATATCAGTCCAATGCTCCACTGTGTCTACTGCCACTGACCTGCTGTCACAGTCCACCAAGACCAACCTCTGCTTGTGTGCACTGACTGCTTCAGGGGGAAAAAAAGTGGCACTGTTCCAAGGAAGAGCCTTCCTCCCAATGGAAAGAGTCCCCTGCAGCCACAGAGCGGCTGAAGGAGCTCACCACTGGCAGTATGGTACTTTTTGTGGAGAAAACTGATCCAGACCAAGCTCTAAGGCTAGACATCCTGGCTTAGTATTCTTTTGAAAATACTGAGGACTGTCCAACTTACTCTTCTCACAGTTTCTTTCCCTTTCTTTAGTGGCCAGAAAGTTTCCGTCAGTTGCCTGTTTTCCTCCAGCATTGGTGCTTTTAATGTTTAAAAAAGAAAAAAAAAAAAAGGCAAGCCAGAAAGAGAGTATATAATGATGCAGATATCATGTGTTCCACCCAGTGAACTACTGAGACAGAACTTTCAACAAGCCTGTCTAAGCTCTCTATCTCACTAGATTATAATGTTCTATTATAATGTTCTATTTCTGCATGTCTGAAATCTGTATGTTATTTGGTGTACTTTCCAAGTGAAATCCAAGTGAAAAATGATTCTTCATTCACTGTGAGTTTTAACTTCCAGACAGAACCTTGGTGAAAGTATACTTTATTTATGGGTGGAGAAGATACGAGAAGTTCTCATAGAAAAGGCACAGTCATCAGATCCAGGTACTTGAGAAAATACATGGGTTTTTCAGTTTACTTCTTGTTCAGCTGCAGAGTAAGATTTCATTACAAGTTAAAGCTTTATGCCTGGTTTTGTATTGGATCTAAATAGCAGAAAACAACAGTCTCCAGTGTCATTGCTTATTGTTTTACAGTGATAGCTTCCCTTTTTAAAAAGCAGTAGGGAAAAAAAGGAAGGGGCTGGCCTCAGTGAACTAGAACAAGGTCCTCAGTTCTCTCAGGAATTAAATTACTTGCATGAAAGCAGAATGCTGCACACAGGTACATTATGCATTGTCCTCTGTTCTGCAAAGGAATCATTCATATCAGTAATTAATTTCTGGTGTGGAATGCACTCTTGGAGGATTGGAATTAGCCTCAAGAGAAGATAAACTTCGGTGGAATATGCAGACAAATGGCAATGTATTCCATCTTAATTGCATTTTACTATATTGGGATGAGAAGTATATCATCACTAGAGTTGCAGTAATTCTTCTGCTGTTACTCTTATAGTGATAGAATTTGTGTAAATTCACAGTTCTTTTAAAAGGTGGTGGGGTTTTTTTGTGTGGTTTTTTGTGTGTTAAAATGCTAAATTGCTATGAAATGCATGAATGACATGCATGCATGCACTTGTGGCAAAAGAAAATAGAAGCATTTTTCTATGTCATGGATGTTAGCTTAGTCCTGTGGGCAATAAAAGACTGAAGAGGAAGAAGAATATATCTTTTCAGTGCTACTTCATGATAAGGTCTTTTTTAGTCTTTCAATAAACTGTGCGTTTTGTTGCTACAGCATAGACATTTAAAAAGCCATTTTTCATTGACATGACTAAAGGAGTGGATACTGAGAAGTAAAAATTTTATTGACAATATTGGAAGTTTGTTGGGTATTTTGACAGCAACCTTGTGGCTTCTACTTAATACATCTAATGATTTTTCTAGGCCGTTTGAACATGCTATATCACCCCTCTGCTTTTTTATTGAAAATACCTATATTATAAAAACTGCATCATCACCAGGTCATAAGCCCTGTAAATAGGAAATTATATTGTGATATATTAACTTGTCTGTATGGTAGATTTCCTCTAAATCCAGTTGCTAGAGCACTAACTGTTTGTGATATTTAGTCTTTTGCTATTGACTATTATTTTTTGTGTGTCCTATGCATGAAAGAAAATAGGATTTTTGGAATCCCAGAGTGCTTGAAACATGTCCAGAGAGATGTTTCAAATATAATGACTTTATAACCTCATAAAGGTTATAGCATTGAACAACAGCTCTACGTTTTTCCCCAAATGACCAATAAAAGACTGCAGTTCTTGTGAAACATCAGATTATTTTGGTCTCTAAATTCAGATTAAATTAATGGTAGCATTGTAAATGTTTAATGGAAATGATAAACATTATTGTTCTTTTCTTCTTAGAAATACTGTTAATTAGTATTGAAACAGAAGATATTATGCAAGGATCCCATAGCATGAGTATTGTATTCCTAATTCTAAGCAAGATTTTTGTAATTAATGTAATTAATGATTTTTGTAATTAATTTGTTTTGTTGTAATTAATGTTACTATTCTGCATTTCATAATTCTCAATGGCAAACTGATTTGAACTGAAAAGCCAGAGATTTTTGAGAAAAAGAATTTGAAATTTCCTCTTACTTGTCTCACAAAAAAATGTGTAATAAATTCTCCTACTTGTATCTTAATAGAACCAGATATTAAGAAAACCAGTGAAGAAGTTGATGAAGATGATGGAGATTATTTTCTCCTAGACCATCAGCCAGTTCAGGAAGATCCAATTAAAATGTTAAATTTTATTACATCTGAAAGTCAAGAAGGTAAAAAATATGCCCTTGTTAATTCTGATGAAATAATTTAGAAGAGAGTGGCCTTAAGATTCTGGTTTTCTACTCAGCTTTTGAGTAAAATTAGTAATATTAAAATTATAATAAAGATTAATAACAATCATAAAAAACCCCAACATATTTTTGGTGGTTCTGTATGTCATCTTGTGTACTTAACTTTAACAAATTCCTTTTTTAAAGTTGAGACATTCTTTACTTATGTAGCCATATACCTTGTTTCAGTACCCTTAAAAGAAAACAAACACTTCCTTGTTTGTGATCAGTAGATGAAGAACTGCCATCCATACATCATGGAAACCCAATCACAGATCGAAGGAGTACTTTCCAGGCACATCTGGCTCCTGTGGTGACACCCAGACAAGTTAGTAGAGATTAATTCTACTCTTTTTGTCTGCACTGGGAGCTTGACAAAGTATTACTGAAATACTTGGGATTAGCTGAGTAAGTCCGTCTGTGTGTCTTTGCATCTTTGTGTGATAACGTTGTCTGAGTAGTCCTCAGTTTCTTGTTTTCACTATCAGCTGAATAGCTCTGCAGTGGTTCTTGCTATTCTTTACCATTAAGTGCATTAGATGCAAGAGAGTAGGAACATCGAAATTTGACTTTTGGCAGGTTTATTGTATATTTGGAAGCTACTGAGTCTGCCATGTGTTACTTGGAAAATCAACTAAAATGAGTTTATAAATATTTTCCCTCCTTCAGAAAGGAATTCTATTGAAAAATACACTTGGTTAATGCATGAGTAAATCTTTATCTAGACCTAAATGAGAGGGGTAAGCATGCTTCTAGAGTTGTATTTGCCTACAACTACAAAAAATGTCTGCACTAGTTCCTCTCTCTTACTGGAATCAGTAGTGAGTGTAGACCTAGATGGAGTGCTAGAAAAGGGCAGCTACATTTTTTTTCCCATCATGCTTCCCCTCTTTCAGCAGTTTAACACAAGGTAAAGAAAGTATCCTTTTGTTTAATATTACTGTTTTGGTTTTTTTTTTATCCTCTGTGGACTTTGTCCAGTTGCTTCTTGCACCAGAATTAACTTTCAGAATCAACAACATTGTAAGAAAATATGCCTTCCTGTGTTTGCTGTCAATCAGTCACTCATAACTTTGTTTGTTGCACCTCTCCGATTTCTCTATGCAGTTTGGATTTTTATAGACATCTATCATATTTTATAGACCTTCCTTTTCTGTTTTCCACACTGAAGACCCCCAGTCTATTTTGGTGCTTTGTAGATGTAGGCTGTTCTGTACATGTAATGTGTGCTCTAACGTTTTTAAGATGCAGACTAGAACTATACACAATACTGAAGATGCAATCACTCCAAGGATTTATAGAGTGGTGTAAAGAGTTTTTCTGTTTTTCATGTTCTTTTCCTAGTAGTACCTTTCAGTTTACTTTTTTGATCTCTACTGAGCACTGAGTGGTGTTTTCATAGAAACGTCTGTTATAACCCCAAGGTCTATTCTATTGTCTTTCTTCAATATTGTCTTTTACGGGAAAAAAAGGGAGAAAACAGGTGTCTGTAGTAATGTTCTCCATGAATAATATGAGTTTTTTCAGTGAGGTATCTTATATTTGAGGTGATTTTTGTAAGTTGAATTTCTTCCAGAAGAATTGGAAATAGCACAGTATAACTAAGACAGATATTAAGTACGTATATTGATTACTCCTCAGAGACATTTTTCTTTGGAGTGAAGGCAATTTACTTGCCATGCATGCTTTCCTGAGCTTTCTCAACTTCAGTAATGTTTTGCTCAAAGTAGTATTAATTTTGTATTGTGTACTAAAACAATGTCTTGATCAAAGCTCTCCTTTTTGCTAGACCAAATTAGAAAGTGTTGAACAATTGCTAGCTTGTTTAATTAGAAACAGAAAATGAAGTGATATTGATAAATGTTTTGAATTTGGAACCTCTTAAGAGCAGAGAGATGGAAATGGTGGGAATATCTGTTTTCTGGGAAATACTGACACTTTCAGACCCATAATAGAACCTTTTTTTAAATTTATATTCTTTTTGTGAAATGAAAACTCTGAAAATATGTTTGTGGAAAAAGGAAAAACTCGAAATGTAGTAAGCTTTCTAAACATCACATGTTTTTGTGGAATAGGTAAAAGCAGTGTGTAATGGGAAAACGTATGTCAAGTTGTGTTATATTCCAGCTTAATGTTATAGTTTTAAAAAGTAAGCAGGTGTAATTGATACTTAATACTGATTAAAAATGTTTTCTAGTTCTTACTGTCTCTCTTGTTTAGTGAAGCGATTTGACACTTCTACATCTTCAGCAATAACATGAACATACACAATGTACAAATTCAAGGAACAGCTGTTTTCAGTATCCCAGAAAAATGATTTGAAACTGGCATGAGGGTATTGAGAAGCTGCTTCTTGTGTTATCACAGTGAATATTTAATTCATTTTATGTCAAAGTGTAAAACTGTTTCATTATAGTATTAATAAGGAGATGTTTGTTTAGCAGTGATACTGAGATGGTGCGTATGAAATCCCCATTATAAAAGGAAGCTTATTTCTGTTCTTTTAAAGGTAAAGAGGGTTCTTGAAAAATTGTATGAGAATAAGAAAATTGCAAGTGCTACCCACAATATATATGCATACAGGTGAGAAATGAATAGTGATTTTTTTTTTTTTCAGTGTTCTTTGACAAATGAGTGCAGGAAATGAGAAAAGTAAAATCTATCAAATAAATTCCTTGCTGTTAAATCTTTATGGGAGTAGGTTTCTTATTTGTATGGTAAAGGTTTTAGGCTTTATTTTGAATTTGAGATCAAGAAAGTAGAACATATAGTAGGAAATACATTAAGATAGTAAAGCAGCATTAGAAATAAAAAATAAACTAAAAGTGGATTTGAACATGTGTTGTTATACTTCGTGTAGTATGTGTGAGCATGGAAATGCTACATCATACTGAACTAAATGTGTTTTTACTTGGGCAAAGTAAGTTTTTTTTCCCCCAACCTTATATTTAGAAATAGCTGAAAATTTTTAGTTGAAATAAGAGCTGAAACAGAAAGCCTGATGCAGACATCTGGCATATGAAATTACAGCTGAAATACGAGAAACTTCAGGGAAAATGAGAAACAGGTAAAAGTGAGTTTGGCAATGGTCTGTTTCTGGCAACTTTTGTGAACATAGCATATGTGAAATGAATTCGTTTCAGTCCAGATAGTGATGTAGGTTTTCTGAGCAGTGTAAGTGACAGGGAAAGGAGCCCCTTTCATTACTGGAGGAACCAGTAATCTGAAAAAGCATGTATGGCCACTGATCCATTCATGCACATCCTGGTGTGATCCTAATGAAACATGAAATGAGAGCAAGTGAAAGCTTACTTTACCAAAAAGTCTTCCTAAGTAAAAGGTTTCTGTAAAGAGGGGATTTCTATTGTTGCTGCTGCTGATCTGGCTTCTTTCGCTTCTTTCACTCATATTATCTAAATGCACTTCATAAAAGCAACAGAAACATACTTATTGCTTCATATGTGTCATCTATTACCACAAGCCTCTTTGTCATTGTGTCAGATATGTATTAACTAAGTTCGGAAGTTATGAAATCAATAGGTAAGAAACAGTAGATCTCTGAGCATTACTTCTGGAAAATTAGACCTGGGCAGCTGTTGTTTGTATGAAACAATACACCCCAAAGTTTCCTGGAGTGCCCCCTGAGGAAGGAGATGGCGTGGAGAACCTGAAGGCGGATTTCAGTAATAGTTTCACGCTGCTGCTGAAATATAGACCTAACTAATTATTCATAATATTTTTGTCCAAGTTCTTCCAGCTTGTGGGTGTGTACCATAATTTGAACCTGTATCTGATAGAGTTGGTTTCCTCTAGGCATAATTATTAGTCTAAAAACCTAAGGATTTTTCTTATTAGGGACTTTATAGTGGTAATGAGTCTGGAGTTAACCTGAAGTAGCTAAAGTCTATGTAAAAGCTTCTCAAAACTTGTTCTACTGTACAGATAAGTATTTGTGGTTTACCCTAAGCCTGATCCTGTTTTCAGGTAAATGTCCTTAGTAGAGAAGTAGAATTGATACACATGTGTGTGAAAGATCCCTGAGACTTCATTAATCATGTCAAAATGTTAGTTGATTGACATTTTTTTGAATCTATTTTATGTTCATTTTTTTTCTTTTTTTCCCTTCTTTTGTTTTTAAGAATATACTGTGAAGATAAGCAGACATTCTTACAGGACTGTGAAGATGATGGGGAGACAGCAGCAGGTGGACGTCTTCTTCATCTTATGCAGGTTATGGAAATTAATCTGACTTCTGGAGGTCTTGAACAGATTTTAAAAATCACTACAATGTAAATAAACTTGTAGAAGGTTATTTTAGTTCTTGCTCTGCTCTTAGCCAGATGGATGATTACTTTCTTAAAGGTGAAAGAAAAACCACAAACTGTTCGATGCATGTAGTAAATTGGGATTTCCAAGTCTTGGATCATAGAAATGAGTACTGTTTCATAGGTGGTAGTAATAGTTTGAATGGTTTAAAAGAGAAAGAAGTTTTGATTCCTGTGCTTACTATGTAGTGTAAGGTATATAGAAAATGAAGACTGAAAGAAGCTGATGGACAGAATGCAACAGCTGACCTATGCACAGCCTTTCATTCAGTTTCCTCAAATATTCGTAATAAAAAGACACTTATATTTGAACTTCAGAGTAGAGGTTCAAATGCAAAAGGTAGTGGGAGTGAAGGACTTAAGTTGTTTTGATCATTTAATCTGTTTCTTTGTGCTGTTTCCAGTTCTGGTCCTTAGCCCTCGTACTCACATATATTTTAGTTTTCAAGTGTTGAAATAATATTCCCTTGGCAAAGTTGCTACTAAATGTGAATTGAGATTGATAAATTTTGATTCACCGGCATGATGCAAGCCCTAGTAAAACCATAAATGAAATATCATAACTACAGGGGACAGCTGGGTACATCTTATGCAGTGCCTCAAGTCACTTAGCTGTATCAGCACACTAATAACTGTTTTTAATTTTGACTTTTAGATTGATGTCCCCTTCACAACAAGGGTTTTCTTTTCCCGTCCTTCGCTTGCTTGCACATTCTGTTGCTAATGCGTTAAACTTATTCCTGGAGACTGTTTTAAAGCTTTTTAAAAATTATTTCAAAGCTTTCTTTTTTTTCTGAAAAAAAAAACAATTGATGGAAATATTTTGACATTTTTCATTTAGAACTTTTTGAAACTTCTTAATTAACTCAAACTTGACTTGGGAAGGAAAACTTAGTTTATGTAATACATGCAAGTATATGTGGTAAGCGTGAAAACATTATTGTAGTGAAAAGAATGTAAAGAAACAACTTTGCAGTTACTGTACCTCAATTTGTTCTGAGCTTACCAGCTTTTTCTCAGCATGTTAATGTATACTTTTTAAAGTTGTCAGACTTACAATGTCTATGCACTTAACATTCCATAAAAGTCCAGTTTAGAAAGTGACACGAAATTTCCCCTTTCAAATGTGTGTGTGTCTAAATCATATGGATCATCTCTCTCCATCTGTAGTCCTAGTTACTGAGAATATTTTTGTTTTCGAAGAGTACTGCTGTAGGGATCAGAAAAGTGCAATTTTCACCCGTAGAAAAAGATTGAAATAGTTTATGGGCCAATTTCTAGATGTTCATAGGTCTTGTAGTTTTTCTGTTACAAGCACTTACGTTATATCATATGGGCATGAAAATTACTTGGTTTAATACACTTATCGTTGCTGTACTTATAGTTCTTCTTTTGCAATAGAAATCTTATCTTGTTTCAGATAAACCTAGCACTTCAGTCAAGGTAGCACTTTCTGGTTACAAGAAACTGTATTTCAGATTAATTCTTTCGAACTTAGAGTTCAAAAAATTTCCCAACTGTGTTTGGCATCCTGTTTACTGTGAACAGTTGCTATACATAGACTGTTTGGCTCCAAGCCATCTGTATGTATTAGTGTAGTACTGCACAGGACTTGAGAGAAAGCTGTTTGTAAGTGAAGACCTTCCACAGAGATTTCAGATTTTAGTTTGAGGGACAAATTCAGCATTGTGGTCACTAATCGTGCAAGACTTAATTTGAGCAAAAATGCTAACTGGTGATTGTCACTACACGTTTCTGTGCAGCAATGTCTGTCTTAGATTTTGACCAGATGTGTGTTTCTCTGATACTTAGTCAGTTGGCATTCCCTGTGTTACTAGTGTTTGCTGATGATGGGGAGATCTTGAGCACAGAGTTGGTAAGGCGGAATATATGCTAGTTTTCAAGTCTAGTCAAGTCACATCTAGATTTTGTGAAAAGTAAAGCTGTTCAAGGCCTTCCATGTTTCTTGCCCTTGATTGCATTAAAAGCAATCATCACTTCTGTTTAACTCTCTACTTGATTTTGTTACTTACAGTCTTAAAAAAGCTATATAAAGGTTGTTTAGTTCCTTTCAATCCTAATTGCTAATACAAGTATTTCATGTTGTGTGAACTTTATATATGCCTTTTTGAATTCAGAAAGCAACTGCTTGGTTGTAAGGGACTAAGACTCAAACCTGGAAAATGCAGAGGTTTTTATGTGTTATCCAGGTGCTGTTGCTAAGTCCTGCACATGGCAACAGTGCTAGCTTATGGCATTTTAGGTATCCATGTGTATGCCTGTCCCTTGGCTGTTATTAGCCTCATCCATCAAGACTTCCAAAAATGTGGATAGACAATCTGCTTAGTGACAGAGGTTCTCTGAAAATAATAATTCATCATATTAAAGAATAATAAATTTAACTCAGTAATTTTCCCTTTAAGTAATGCCTGAAACCTTTGACACATGAATGAGCAACTGTAGCGCGCATGAGATAGTTTTGTGCCCTTTCTGAGGGATATATTGACTCATTTTACTTTGAATTTACCTTTGGGTAGGAGCTTGGAGAGGGAAGCTTACAACTACTGCTGACTTGTCGTTATTTGTTATCCTCTGATAACAACATATGTGTGACACAGACCTGACTGTAAGTTCTTCTTAAAAATGCAAGATGGTAGACTTTTTCTATGTTTAAAAAAGGTGTCAACAGTAAAACTAGTTCAAGTGAAAAATAACACCTTTTCTTTCTTTCTTTTTTCTTTTTTTTTTTTGTTTTAAAAAACAGATTTTGAATGTCCACAATGTGTTAGTCGTGGTATCCCGCTGGTATGGAGGTATTCTCTTAGGGCCAGATCGTTTTAAACATATAAATAATTGTGCAAGAAATGTACTTGTGGAATACAACTATGTACATTCAGTGGTAAGTTTCTGCCACTTAGAATGAAGGTATTTGTATGTGAACTTGTGTAAATTGTCACTGTTAGATGAAGCCAGAAAAGAAATAATACTACCTGTGTCATCCTCTGGTTGCTTTGATGCACTGATAATGTGCATAGGAGCAGTGCAAAGACTCCCAAAGAACTTCCAAAGAAGTTAGTGACCTGGTTTTTAAGTGTGAGGTGTGCAATAGAAGGGTGGCAGCCATTGAGAACATTGGTCCAGAACACAAATTTGAGGGTTGGGGGGGGATGGGAAGGGGAAATGCCTCTTTCTATGTGTTCAGAAAACTGGAAGCCGCTGCTTCTCATGCTTACCTGTGCCACCAGTTCTAGTGTGTAGGCAGGCTGAGCTTGGGAATCACTGTAACTAGTAGGCATTTTAAAAATTGAAAGCTTTATTAGACCCAAAGAAGTTTTCAGAATTATAGATGATAGACACCATTTAAAAAACCATGTAGACTAGAAGAATTCAAACAAAGTAACATGAACTGTTACAGAAAAGATTAAGGGAAAATGTTTCAAGCGAGCTTAAAGAACTCGGGAGACAAAGTTCCAAATGTCTTTAAATGGCATTTTACTTCTTAAGGGACTTAGGTCATTTAATCATCTAATATTCTTGGTTTTCAACATTTCTTTTCTTCATCTTCAGAACAGCATATTAGATATGTCTATGTACATTATAGTATGTAATTGCTAACAATAGAAAGTTCAAGACAGTAGGAAATAATTACTAATGGATACTTGAAAAAGTATGCAACTGTCAGTTTCTCCTTTTTATATGAAAGTATCCAAGATTGCTGTGGCTGAAAGCTGAGCATTCTTCCCCATTCCTGCCCCTGCACTTTTCAGTTATTTGCTTTTTGCATTTTAGAGGTGCTTGTATATACTTACTGATTTACCTTCCTGGCAGTTTATCAATGTTCTCTTACTTGAAAGCATTGCTCATTAAAATAAAAGGAAACTAACAAGACTTTTAAGCATTAGAGAAGGTTTAATACCAAAAATGACTTCTTTTTTTTCTATTTTTAACAACTTAAATCAGACTATATTTCTTTATTGTATATTAACAAACGTATTTTGTTACCATCAGAAAAAATAACAGGTGGAACTTAGGGTAATTATTATTCTAGTACCATAGATGTGGCTCTTGGAAAAAGTATTCTTTTAGCTAACTCTCTTCAGAATAGCAAAATTCAAACATCCTGTTAGGGTCCATTTCCCTCCCATGTGCAAGAGGTAGAAGGGAGAAGGTTAGAATGTCCCAGGTTCTGTCAGCTATAGTGGCAGATTCCTTCACCGTTTTGGGGAGTGCTTGTGATGAATGCCTACTGAAGAAAAATCTTGTTTCTCAGAATTGGCAGTCAGAGTAAGCTGTACATTACAATGTTGGTCCAGCAAGACTGGCAAAAGTTTGTTTTTTTCAGTGTAGGTTGGTTTCACTTAGGGAAGCGGTTGTAATGTGCTGGTGTACAGTATATCTCTTGATAAGGCCACGTCCACACTAGAAGCAGTTTTGCAGTAAAGTGTAGATGTATTCCTATACTGGTAATCTCTTCCTTGAGTGGAAATATTTTTACATTATATACTTCTGTTGGGACACATAGCTATGTCTATAATTTTATAGACATAAATAGCAGGATGAGCAGACAAATTAATGAAACTAAGTGGTTAAATATCATACAACTCAAAACTTTCGTAAGTCCCAGTAAACTATGCACATTGTTCATATTAAAAATAATTCTCATGGGTAACCTTGAGAGAATGCTCACAGTTTATAAGAATGTTGATTAAATTTTGAAATGCTTGTTTTTCATTTCAGGAAGAATCATCTAAACAAGCAGGAAAAAGCAAAAAGATAAGGAAGGACAACAAGAAGAGAACAGAACACTAATTTATTTTTTAAAACTGTGAAAGGTTATTTTGCACATATTTGTACAAAGAAAACATGGGCACTATTGCCTTATCCAATACAACAGACATTTTATATTCAAAAGAGAATTCAGTAAAGCTATAGATATATTTTCTTCTTGTTCTGTGATTTCTTCTGCTGTTGTGAAGTAGAGCTTAAACACAAGTTTTCTGTATTCTTAAACATTTCAGCTCCTTGCTTTGAGGGCATTGTAACATCTGGAACCATTTCCCCATCCCATCCCTTCCTACCCAACGATGGTTGGCTATTTTAAAATGTGAATTACCTACCTTCTCCATTCCTGGGTTTGAACTCAAGCACCTGTCTTGTATTAGTAGTTGAATTCCCTAGTTTGTTGTATTGAGGGTGAGACTGGAGTCATTCATGGACAAGGCCACTTACGAAGTTTTAGATTTTCTATACCTAAAAGGAAGGTGTGTGGCCCAGTGCTATATGGCCTTGGAGAGCCTGGTCCTGCCTGTGCAGTTCTTGGTCATGCTAGATAGGGCCTGCCTGGTGACATAAGAAAGACTGAACATGGGCGATGAACTAAGAAATGTAAAGAAATTACTTCAAAATTTCTTTGAGGATTGTGCTATGAGTGTCGGGACTCTAGGAGCCTGTTGAAAAGCTGAGGATTAAGTTTGTAATTAAAGGAACCAGTGATTTCAACAAAGAATATGGGGATTTTGAAATCGGGCTGTTACAGCTAGTAGTGAACATTAGTAAACATTCTGAAGTGACTTCCATTGGTGTAGAGTGGGGGAAAAAACAAATGTTGATGATATGATCACAAACACTTGAATTTTCTACTCTTTTATTAATATCTTCTAGACTTTTCTGGAAAAAAATTAACAGGACTTTTTGTCGGTTAATTGTCATATTGCTATTTAGATGAGATTTAAATAATTTTTTTAACATTCCCTTAATACTTTCCACTTGGGGAGGATGGACTTTAATGATCTATTGGTTGTTTTTCTGAAGTTAATTTGTGATCCATCAATTACTAGCTGAGTCACAGGTGCTTTCTTAGGTCAGGTACACTTTATATAGTTTGCTCAAATAGTAATGTCAGGGCTGTGACTATTTTTAATTACATTTCTCTAGTGGCAGTTGCATAACTTAAAGGTCTATTTGCAAGACCAGCTTATTTGACCACCGGTTCAGTATATATCTTTTTGCCAATATGTTCTTACATTGAACTGTTCATTATAGTTCTCCAGTAGGCGTACCCCGGAAAACCTTTCCCAAGGCAAACAATCTAATCAAAGTAACTACTCCAGAGTTTGATAGAGCAACCGAGATATTCCTTAAGAATTTCAGTAACTTGAAAAGTACCACTAAAGTACAGGATTAAAAAAAAAAAAAATTACCACTAATTCTGTGGCAGATAGATCCTGCATTGATTTATTGAAACAATTTTGTGCAGTTACAGTACCCTGTCTGCATAGCAAAGCTCTTTTGGGTTCAGCCTTAGCATCTGTACTTGGAATAATAAAATGATGTTTGTCCCAGGGAAGGAAATCCATATATTACAGTATGTAGTAGTGTTGCACTTTTTGGGTCATACAAGTATTTCTTGTTCATAGTTTGTCTGTCTTACTGATAAACTCTTTTATTTTGCCTTTCACTTCCAGTACCGTAACAACTTAAGTATTCCAAAGTTCCTGTTGCTTTTATGAAAGTTTGAAATTGTAGCAATTACTTAATATGGGAAGCAGGTAAATTGTGAGATGTTCTGCTATAGCTGCCCAAGATTCAGTTCCACTCATGGTAATGCATGTTGTTTTTCCAAAGAGCATCCTTTAAGCTTGAATGCTCAGAATCAACAAGTGATTCTCAAGGTCTGAATTTATGGGTGTTCAGTCTGAGGTATGTGAAAGCTAGGTGTCTGATTATCTTTTTTTTTTTTATTACTGTTTTTTTCAGAAAGTACTGATTCTTGTCCCCAAGAATCTCATGTTTCAGTGCTGTGTGTTAGCAAAAACTAAAACCCCAAAATGGAAGAAAGAAGTTTCTGATAACCACTTGCTGCGTAAATGAAATGGACCATACAGGTCATCCAATCAGTGAGCAAAATGAATCCCCTGTCCCTTAAAATGGCTGGAAACAGACCATCAAATGTGTATTTTCATGCTATTTCTTTCAGAGATAATGTGAAGTGATGACTAGCTGTACTGTGCACACTTTTGGTTAGAGAAGTTGCATTCTCTTACTATTTTTGTTTGTAAGCATTTCCTGAGTTTAAACTTCCTTTATTTTAATAACAAGTTTTCTGGTGGCTTTCCAGAAGAGTTTTGCAATGCAGGATTTTGTCCTTTCCTTTGAAAGCGATGCCTTGGCATACCTCATGGCCTAAAGAAACTGTGATTCTTGCTCTTTGATTATTAGTTATGCTTCAAGGAGGCTGTATCCCATCACTTAATTGAATACAATTGTTTCTGCTTTGTAATTCAGAGAATGTTAGAGCAGCGTTATGTGTCAGGATCAAAAATTTAGCACAGATATAGCAGTTGAAGTCCTTGAGATGCGTCAGGAGTGTTTTCACACTGGGACTGTGTGCTGGTTTTGGCTGGGATAGAGTTAATTTTCTTCATAGTAGCTAGGATGGGGCTATGTTTTGGATTTGTGCTGGAAACTTGGTAATACAGGGATGTTTTCGTTCCTGCCGAGCAGTGCTTACACAGAGTCAAGGCCTTTTCTGCTCCTCACACCACCCCACCAGCGAGCGGGCTGGGGGTGCACAAGAAGCTGGGAGGGGACACAGCTGGGACAGCTGACCCCAGCTGACCAAAGGGATATTCCATACCATATGACGTCATGCCCAGCATATGAAGCTGGGGGAAGAAGAAGGAAGGGGGGGACGTTCGGAGTTACGGCGTTTGTCTTCCCAAGTAACTGCTACATGTGATGGAGCCCTGCTTTCCTGGAGATGGCTGAACACCTGCCGCCGATGGGAAGTGGTGAATGAATTCCTTGTTTTGCTTTGCTTATGCGCAGCTTTTTCTTTTCCTATTAAACTGTCTTTATTTGAACCCCTGAGTTTTCTCACTTTTACTCTTCTGATTCTCTCCCCCATCCCACTGGGAGAGTGAGCGAGCGGCTGGGTGGGGCTTAGTTGCCAGCTGGGGTTAAACCACAACAGACTGGTAACCAAGGGACACAAATAACCTATTCCGCATGTAGAGCAGAGCAGCAGCAGACACACGGAATATATTTTGATCCTCACATTTTCATCATTGCCTATAATGCATTTGGCTTGTTAACAAAGAAATCAAGAACCTAATAACTTTAGAAACTGGGCTATAAAGCATTTTGTTTCTCTTACTTAGTGGAGGACAGAAGTCCCCCAGAATCTGAGAAAGAAAACAAGTCAGCCTACTCTTACAAGCAGCTGGCTTGCTTCTTAAGTCACTTGTGCTCTGAGGCCATAAGCTGTTGCTCCAAAAAGTATGCAGATACCTTAAAAAAAAAAAAAAAAAAAAAAAGTGAAATAATACTTCATAGTATTTGTGGAAGTTGCAGGTTGCTGTAGTCTCACCGTGGATAGACTGGTATCTCTGATGAAGTTCGAGAGTGCTGAAGTACGTGCTTGTGAAGTATGTTATTCTGAAGCCAGTGTATTGCTCTTCAACAGACTGGAAGTACAGACGTCTTTTGTCTCTGAACTATAGTGATTTTAGATTGGTATTCCTTTATTAATTAAAAAATGTGAAGAGAACAAAATAGACAACTACTTGGAGTCATAATAACCCCATCATTTTAACAACTAACAACCATTTAGTTTTTATGTTGCTGACATAAGTAATCATTTTTTATTTTGGGGTAAGATTTACAGATAAGAGAATTTGTAGCCATCAGCATGCGTCTATGCAGAAAAGAGAAAGGCTTGCCTTTTCCATTAGGGATGTGTCACCAGTTTTGCAAGTTTCTGTGGTGAAACGAAGTTAAGCAGAATCAGCAAAAGAACCCCTGACGGTGGGAAAGGAATGAGTTTCGCACTCTGTTATCTGAAGTGTGCTGGCGGGTGATCTGCTTTAGATTTGGCATGGCTTCCTCCCCTACCAGGGTAGGGGAGGTAACAAGGGTGCAATCAGCCTTTGCTTTTGAGTAAGTTGGGGACACAATCTCCATACTCCTGTTAAGTGCATTATTATGAATACTGATATTCTAAACTCCTACTGCTAAACAATGTAATAATCTTGTTTATCAACGTAAACTATGATGGTGTAGTATTTTCCTGCAAGTTAAAGGTTTATAAGTAAGGATCTAGAGGAATGTATTGAAAATAGACTAAATCAGAATGGAGCACCAGTGTTCTTCAGTCCAGAGCTTGATGATGCAACCTGATGAGAAATCAGATTGCATTAAATAAATCATGTGTATGTGAACTAGCAAATGGGATGGAAAGAGATTACAAAAATGGCCTGCAACAACTTTTAACTTTAAAAATAACATCCTAATGGAATGTATAATGCTAAACTGAAGCAGCAGTTTTAACAGTAAGTTTTTGTTGTCAAATATTGCAAATTTGTTTAAGAAAATATAGGCTGTACACATATCCCCTATAAATTTAATTATTTGGAAAAAAGAAGAAAAGGATTATAGCATTAATCCATACCTGAAGTACAGTTGCCTGTCATAAAAATAGGTCCGTGAAGAATCAAACACCAGCAGAAAAAGGTGGATTGTGACTTCTATTTAATCTTTTTTTGCCACTCTCTTCTGTGTTACCTCTTTCTTTTACTGTTTGCTCTTCTGGAAATGAATCAGGAGTACGACTGAACCCGGATTAGCCATTACAGCACCCCAATCTCCTATAAGGTAGTATCAGAATGCTTTATTTTTCTTTGTTGCTCAAACTTAAGTGACTGAACCAAGAGCTGGAGTTTATATCTGGTCTCTGATCAGGGTGTTTTGTTAGCAAAGTACCTTCTAAAGAAGTGCCAGGTGGTTTCTTTGTAAAACAGGGACTTCAGATAGAAGAGCCTTAATGAATTCAAGACAGCTGAGCAATGGAAAAGAACTCCTGTCATTCTTACAAGCTTCTCTTCAAGAAGTGGTGATGAGACAGAGCACTTCATCCAAATGTCCTACCGTATATCTGGAAATCTTCCATGCTGAAATATGGAAAGGTCCCTTGTTTTTAAAATCTACTGCCCTTAACTTTTAAAAGTGAAGATAATTGTCTCTCTAATTGCAGCGTAGCAATTCTGGACTGTTTGTAATTTCTTGATATTGCAAAGTCTGAACACTTTAATAAGAAGGTAATTCAGGAAGGTTCTTTTACTGTTTAGTAGGTGTTCTTGTTTATCCCCTGGGGAAGAAGGAAGGGAAGAGAAAGCTGGAACATTTACTTGTGGATCCTTTTGGTGTGTTAATTTGTGCTATGTGTTTATTGTCTAGCATGTCTATTTGAATAAAAATTCCGTATCTTTTTATAGGGTTGTCATTGAACAGTTCATATGCTGCCCTGACGCCAGTAGAAAATCAGCAGTTTATTATCTACTTCAGATATTTTTCTAGCTAGACATGTGTTCTAGACTGGTTTAATCATAGCTATAGCCACACAAAAAAAATTCTGCTAAAAGCTTATGTAATGCATCTTCTATTAAACTTCACTTAAACTGCTGATGTTTTAAAAAAACTTGCTGACTCATGTAGATTATCTTCTGGATGTGAACAGATTAGTTACGTGGCATCATGACTTGTGCAAAACAAGTTTGTGATGTCAGAGGTATATTGAGAAGGCACATGAGTGTAGCATTCATAATTTTAGGTGCCCAGCTGCACACAGACTTTCCAAGCATGGTGTGGAAGAGTTAGATATCTAAGATTTCGAGAAACCAAGTTAGATCTAAGTTAACTCCAAGAAGAAATGTTGGGGGAGAGAGATGGAAAGGAATTAGGTAGCTATATACTCCTAGAAAGCACCCTAGGATTTAAGCCATTTGGTAAGGTCAGCTGTTTCTCATGACAAACAGTGAAGCTGCTGAGTCTCTTCTTGAGACTGAAGAGCATATGGGTAGCGTGCTCAGCTAGGATGAATCCTGTCTTTAGCTTGATTTTGGAGGCTGTGAAATCTGGCTTGTTTCCCAAATGAGTTACCTTAGCTAATAGACTGAAGGTACTTTGGAGAGTGTATCCTTCATTCTCTTCCACTGAAATACTTTATTAATTAATACAGAATTTCACTCAGATTTTGAGAAGCTCGCTAAGCATTTCTTTCCTCTTAGGGTTGAAGAAACTGAAGCAAAGAGATGAGTACCAGACTGAAAAGTTGCAAGGGATGTCCACTTGGGCCAGAAGTGGAGCCCAGAATTTCCAGGTTCCCAAGGGACTCTAGGACTGCTAAACTTTATTACATTTAAGCTGATGTCTTAAATCTTGCAGCGATAAATAAAAATGTCAAAGAAAAGCAGGGAATTCAAAGTGATACTGTATTTCTTAGCTTAATTGTTTAGATTCTTCTCCATATCTTACCTTAACAAGGTATAGCACAGCTATTATATATATATATGTTATATATAAACTATGATAATCTGTTGCATGCTACAAAAGTGAGGATGTGTGGTTGTATCCAATGGAAGCCATTATGTGGGCAGCCTCCTTATTTAGTACTCGTAATACCCTTCTAATTCAGTTCCTCAGCACAGAAGATTTTGGGTTAAGATACAATAAGAACCTTTCTATTTATGCTTTGTAAAGCAGATTGAGAGAGAAGAAAAAGGTCCACAACTTTATACTCACTTTTGCAAAGAACTGTAATTGCACCACTCTAAGGCAAAGTAGTTGCAAATTACATCAGTAACTTAACTGCCACTGTAGCTTTAACTATTTTAGCAGAGATTCTCACTGAAGAAAAAAATGCATAAAAGTTGAGTAAGGGTTTTGCTATTAAGAGGATCTCGTTTTAACTGCAATTGCTACAAACAATGACTTTCAGCCTTGTGGCTTATTTATTTGTGTGTTTTTTAAAAAAATATATTCTTTTGGAGTACAGTTTGGATCTATGATTTTTCTGCTTTTGTAAGATTTTTGCAGCCTTTTAGTCCTCACAGGGCTTTCAGGAGATTGTAACCAATTCTTTCCTTCTGAGACTGGTGGCTGTGGATTGATTCATCATAGACGCCAGTCTGTAGAAAGCCTGCCAGCTCAAGCTAGCATTTCTCGCCATTCAGGGACAAATTAGGAATCAAAAGTATATCTGAAACTTTGCAGTAGAAAAGATACTTAAGACCTTGGTTCTTCTCCCCTCTTCTGCAGTTGAAAAGGGAGGAGTGTTACTGGAATGGGGAAACCCGTTCCAAGACCCCTTCCTGACTGAGGGCAAGCAGCCCCAGGTCTAAAAGAAGAAAACCTTTTACGTACTTTCCTCTAGAATATGTGACTCAGTGCAGTTTCTGAGCACCCACTGACGAAGGTTTGCAGCAGGTATATGGTGTGCATATGAGCTGCCCTAGGTTCAGTGATTCTTACCGAGGGATTGTCACTTTGAATGCGCAGGAATGAGCTGTTGCTCCCATGATAAGGTGAGACCAGTCAAAAAGGACTGGTTGGGTTACGTATGAGGAAAGAAAAAGTATAACTGGGACATGGTAACGGTTTATACAGGATCCATGATTTGGCAGGATGCATGGCAATTTTCCTGCTGTTCTCTGGATTTGAATGCAGAGAAGCAATCACAGAAGGACTGTTACCCTCCTTAGAGGCCTATAGAAGCTCCTGCAATGTCTTTTATTATCAATAAAATGCAGAAGCAGAAATTCTTGGGGTAAGAAGGTGACTGTTTAGAAGATGAAGTGAAAATAAAATGATCAAATTTCACTTCTGGTACCATATTGACATCTTGAGACGCAAATCACGGCTTGGAGGCATGGAAAGCACACCAGCAGTATATTTTGCCATGTTCTTACACTCTTCCTTAGGTTATGGGCATCTGAGACAGACAGGATACAGACTTGGCTGAACCATTAATTTGACCTCACATTTGTTCACCACTTCATTTTCTTTTCAGCCACATAATAGCTTGGATCTCAAAAATATCAAGTAGATCAGCTTCAGTATTGCTAGCAGAAGAAAGGCTAACAGTATTACTTAGTAGTCGTTGCCAAAGTGTGTTTTCCACGTTTCCAGCATTACCTGGAAACAAAATAAAGCTTAAAGCAGTAATGGACATGCATGCTGTGAAGATATTTGTATGGATAATAAAGTTTTGCATTTTTTGTACTGCTGCCATTCAAACATTTAGTAAAAACACTTGGCAAATGCTAATGAATTTGTTCCCACAACAGAAGCACAGCCAAGACAGCCAACATTTTTCAAATTTAAGTATCTAAAATTAGACACCAAAGTGTTTTTAGAACCCATAATAAAAATGATTGAATTTTTACAACTGTAGAATACTCACAGCTCTCTGCAAGTGGCTTCATTACTCATACAAAATATAAGCACTTATGGAAGACGCACAACTTCTCCCACCAGTGTGGAAGGAAAAGCCTCGTCCTATTAAAGTTAATTGCCAAGCTCTCATTCACATTCAGGGAGTCGGTATTTTGTCCCTTGGTTCTGGGACGGCAGCAGCCGATGCTGTGTCACTGAGGCTGCTAAGAGTTTTGAAACAGATTTCAGTGGAAGTGTTGCAACTGATCTCTGAGGGTTGGACCATTACTGGTTAACTGCTCTGGTAAGTAATTGTATATATGCTTAGTTACAGCATATCAGTTTTCAGCTCTAGGGTCCACAGAAAGAGGAACAACAACAGCAACCACAAAGTTGACCATGCCTTTGGTCAACAAAAATATGTAACACAGTAGGGAGAGACTTGCCAAAATACAATGACACTAGATAAACAAGGATGAAATTAGAAAGTAGTTTACAGTCTCATAAGGATAGGTACCCAAGATGAAGGAATAATTTCCAGAAAAAGTTGATGTCCGTAATGCTAACAAGCAAAACGCTTCTGCAAGGGAGGGAACGAGGGAGGGAGGAAGGGAGGAAAGCAAGAGATATTCTCAAATCAGCCCTCCTGACCTGCACAGATAAGGATCAGGTTGCATAAAGAACAACTTGCATTTTAAAAGACAAGCTTGGAAAAACGACATATTTCTTACTGGTAACTTCTAGAGACGTACATGGTTTCAGATGCATTGGTATTTATTAAAATTACAAAATCTTAGGAAAACTAGATTTATCTAGCATCACAACCTTTTAATTTTTGCCCTCCTGAGTCAATTTTTTTGGATGTTTATTGGATTTTTGGCCCATCCTGTTTATACTCCTTATGAATCTCAACCTTTTGGATAACACTGCCAGATGTGCATTTCTTCCCAGACTGAACTGACCTGGATACGCAACATGCACAACGGCACTGCCGAAACTCCGCATACGGCTGAAACGTGTAACGAGACTTTGTCCGCACAGCCACCGAGCTCCGAGTTTTCACTGGGCGTGTTGGTGCTGCTGGCTTTCCTCATGGTGTTGCTAGCTCTGGTCACCATCCTCGGAAACGTCCTGGTGATCCTTGCTTTCATCATGGACAGAAACCTCAGGCATCGGAGTAACTATTACTTTCTCAATCTTGCTATTTCTGACTTTGCAGTGGGTAAGTCGCAGCCGTGGAGGCACGTACTATTTGTTTCCTAGAAATCTTAGGAGAAGCAAGGGGGCTTCTTTTCTGGGTCGTTTCTTCTACGAGAATTATTTCCCAGCTGTGTGTCTAGGGGAAGGGTAAGGAATGGTGGAAACTGCATTACGTGTTTTAGCAACCTACTCTTTTTCAGAAATACATTATCATAAGAAGTGGATTCTTTGCCGGGTAAACAGGTAATGTTTAATGTTATCGCTTCAGGAAAAAATACCACTGTGTGTGAATCGATGTGCAATAACGAAGAATGGAAGTTGTTTGTGAAGAGCCTTGACTAAAGTCTAGATAGTCAAATTGAATACAGCACATATTATCTGGCAGATCTTGCATATGTGGTTGGTATCTTCTATTTCAATCTACTCTCACACAATACAGATAATCACTTGAAGTTTGCAACTAAATAGTGATGAGTAGTATTTTTGAACATCTTGCTGTACATGCTCTATCTGGAGTCATACCTTACGAATACGTGATTGTATAGGTAAATTAAAATAACAAATCAAACAGTTTCTAGGAAGTTTGATGTTATACATATATATTTATACAGAGGGACACATTTTATTTTGAAACTTGTACTGAGAAAAAGTACAATTAAAATTCTAGTGTGATGTGCAATTGGAGATTGATGTATTGCAATATTCTGTGAAGTCTTGAGTGTCTCTGGTAAAAGTCTTGGTTAAATTATTGAGCAGGCAGAAAGATGGTTTTAAAGTGTGGCTATTTCATGAAATCTATATTCTGACTTGTCACATCACAACAAAATCTTTTGAAACTCTTTTTATTCTACTTTTTTTACGTACACATTTAAAAAGGATACTGAAAGAACTGAAGAAACTGTCTTTGTTCTTAAAATTTATTGCCAGTGTCAGAAATTCTACAGGCCACAGCTTCTCATAGTTCGGTCCTTGTGATGTCCAGATCTGCTTGTATAATGTTTCGATCCCTTCCCCCATACGGATGATGTCTTCTTCCAGTTTATAACTGCCCTGTTGTGCCAGAAAGCTCTTGCTGCCTGCTGTCTGGCCACGGTACGCAGGGAAAAAACCATAGCAGTGAACAGAAAACCAGTGGACAGAGTGGTGTTCTGTCATCTTGCTCACAATCTAGCACCATAGCGAACAAATACCGACATCTAGCTGAGAAGTATGAAGTAAATAACGTCCTCTACCAAAGAAGGAAGTAGAACTTACTTGGCATTACCTAACTTCCACGAATTTTTTTTCCTTGATACTATATTTACCTGAATGTCTAGTTTTTCATTCTAAATTTGGTCAAAAGTTTTGCGTACTTTGGAGTCAAACTGGTTTATAATTCTGTAGCTACATTATTTAGATTTGGGATGTACTTAGGTTATCCTTTATTTCTACTTCATCCTAATTGCTAAAAGCACACATTTTCATGCTTGCAGAGCCCTTTGCTTATTCTTTTGATGTATTTAGTCTGTCTGATTTTGACCTTCAACAACTTTTGTTTTATCTCTGTATAGCTGGATTTGAATAGAGATCTCTTGATTCTTAGTAGAGGGAGAATAACAGGAATTGTAAGATTTTTAGGGAAATGGAAACTCTCAAGATACTCTTCGGTACCTGTTGCAGGAGTACACACTACCATGAAGTAAATCTAAAGTTGAAATAATACCCTTCCCCCCGCCCCTGGAAGGTCAAACTGTATAATATAACCTTTGGCTGGAAGGAGCAAGTGTTCGATGCAGTGATTCCATTTCATTGCAGTGTCGATGCTGTTCACTGCATTTCTGCGTCGCAGCAAACTACACTGTTAGCTCTTCAGCCTCGCAGGGCTGCATTGTCACTGTGTGTAGTGTAATCACCTAGAAATCCATTAAAATGAGATCATATTGGCACTTTCACAACATCTGGATTTAACAGCCTAAATTTAGATAGCCATGGGTGCGGGTCACTCATGTATGTTCCCACCGCTTGGTGTGTTCCCATAGATAATACCCTATCAACTCACCACTGAAAAGTGGTTATGATCAAGAATTATGATGAGAAAAAAATGCTAGACTGGATGTACTTAATTAACTGTGCAGTTTTTGTCAGCCTTCTGATTAGATAGTTTTAAAGATTAGTCTGAAATTCATATTGTGTTTCTATAAAAGTTACTTCCAGAGCACTTTTGGACACCGTATCATGCTTCTAAGAGGATAGAAGCATGGCAATTAGATTGTTTATTGTAGAAAACAGTTAGTAAATTACATGGGGGGGAGATTTTTTTTTTGTTTGTTTTAATTTCAGTAGTTTAATACAGAATAGTGTTTACTTCAGCAGGTAAAAAAGTCAGCTGTTCCTTTCTTTAGCAGGTGATACAAGCAGGAGGAGTAATAATGATACACAATAAACATGATACACCTTTCAGAAAGGTATTAATTACAAGAATGTTACTACTGCCCAGTTTGCGGTCAAGTGTTCATTGGTTGCGTGAGAATACAAAGCCTTCCACATAGCAATTCCAGTCAGTATTGCACTTTTATCAGATACCGCAGAAATGTTTCTTTGCTTTCATGAGCACTGCCTGCAGCGCTGACTGACATGTGCATTTGGTTTATTTCCATAGGTGCGTTCTGTATGCCTTTGTACGTCCCTTATGCCCTGACAGGGACGTGGCACTTGGGAAGAGGCCTGTGCAAGCTCTGGCTAGTTATGGACTATCTCCTGTGCACAGCTTCAGTGTTTAGCATCGTCCTTATCAGCTACGACCGTTTCCTGTCAGTTACAAAAGCTGTAAGAAGAACATTTCTAATTATTTCTTTATATATGTTCAGATTTCTATAAAACTCAGAGTGTTCACAATAACACTAGAAGCTAAATAGTCCTTCATTATTGTACCGTTTTTTTCTGCAGAAACTTTGATGCTTCAGTGTTGCACTGGGACTCAGAGATAAGATAATGCCTTGCCTATGATTTCAATGTTTCCCTCCTGCTGCCTGGATTAGAAACTATTTAATTACACTACAGAGGAGGTGGGAGGCTCAAGGTAGAAAAAGGGCAGCAGGAGCATGGAGAACTTGGGCTTTGGTCATTAGAAGAGTGGTAACAAAACTAGGCTGAGTTAGGGATGTCTTTAGACTTGGGATAAATTTTAACAGGAGAAGAGGGTATGGAGAGAGGTGTGAGATGGACTGACTGAAGATCAGATGAGGATCTGCATTACTGCAGGGGGTGATTGACATGTGCTGCCAACAAGCAGCTGGGTGGAAACTAATCCCTTGAAGCAAAAAGAAGAATGAATCAAAATATCCAGAGAGGTAAGAGGTGTTTCTTGAGTATTATAATTCTTCTGCTTCAGAAGATATCTGGGAATCAGATACTATCATTCACCATTTCTAAGCTCTACCTGGTGTTTGGTCCAGATGGAAGATGATCAACATCCTTTGCTTTTGATGAGTCTGCTAGCTCGAGTGACTTGGGCTGTGTTAGATTGGGAGGTTCTCGTTTGGGAAGTGCTGATACAATGCCTAATCTTTTTCTCTTCTTCCCCAGTGTCGTGGTTTGAGGGTTGGTTGTTGATGCATTTTTTTAAAAAGCTGAACAATGAAGTATGAAAACCCCTGTATTTAAGAGATAGTAATATTGAAAAATATTAATGAAGTTACAGAACTCAGAATATGAGAAATGTAAATTAAAAAGGCCTCTGCAACCCCACTGATCTCCATGTTCTTACGCACTGTTGATGGTCTTCGTTTACGTGTTCACGTTCTGTTTTTCTCCTCTAGGTAATTAGGATGGAGTGAGCCAGGAGTGTGTAACATAGGGCTGACATCCAAAAGAAAAAGTTATCATGCTTCCTCATGAACTTGTGATCCACCTCTGCCTCTGCTGCAAACCTAGCTTATGGCCAGGGGCCGGTTATTCCAGATTCAAGTTTTTGTGAAGCTGTGCTGAGCTTCCTGTCTTCTGCCTACCAAATTGAGATGCTTGTGGTCTTGCAAAGGGCTGGAAATCCATTATTGCAGAACAGGAACTGTGCTCTGAGCTGATACGTTGCTTTAAGATGTAAAGGAGTCTGAATCTTCAGGCTACAGATATTTAAAACAGAGAATCTAAAATAATGTGTGTGACACTTCATAACTTCTCTGTTACTCACTGGCAAAATAGGGACAATGCCCCTCGTGTCGTATGTGGTTGTGAAGATACCATTCATTAATATTTGTATAGCATGCAAGTGCTATGCTAATGAACAGCATAAGAAGCTGATGAGGAAGGTAGTAATTCTGGGTCTGAGTAAAGTCTGGGATGACAAGTGTTGAGAAAATAAAATCGTCCACCTTCTCATTAACTGATCATCTTGTGCTCTGAAAGGTGCAGGGGACCAAGATCTAGAAGTATGTATTGTACATACTGACTGGGCTATTACAAGGGCGGCTTTAACTCTCCTATTTCCTAACTTTGGGTGACATGATTTTTATTTGTAGTATTTTTTCCAAAGATGAATATTTATGGCTAGAGAGTAAAATAAATTAATGTAGTCTGGGTATACATAAACCCATCAAGATTTGCAGTAATACAATGAGCTGTTTACAAGGTAAAGTGAGTGTTAAAACAGAATGTTTCAATAAAGCAAGGGATGTTAAAGCATACGTGTGGGATAGATTTTTCTGCTATGGCAAGAGGAAATAGTATTAAAAATTACATTGTCTAGTGTTTGCAGTCTCACATGGCAACCTGTCTAATATACAAGGCTTCTACTTTTGCCTGTGCAGCAAGGAAGTCCCACAGCTGCTTTCACTCCCCTCTGAGCCTGGGCATTTCATGAATCATAAACTGATTCCTTATTGCTACCTTACTGTGGTGGCGATGAAAACAAGCCATGTCCTTTCACACCTGGAAGCCAAACAGTAGTTTAGCCATCATAATTTCTGCTCCTCTCCAATCCCAAGTATTAAAATCAATCACAGAGCTACAGTATTTGGTGAGCAAGACTAACAGAGTTTTTCAGGACCTTACATAAATGACAATGTTCTAGGTGTCCAGGGAATTACAGAACGAATATTATATTTGACTTGCTTGCTTATGTTTTTTTGAGATAGTTGTCCCAAAAAGTTACCTGAAGACGTGACACGCCCTTTTCCCTCACAGGTATCTTACAGAGCCCAGCAGGGAATACTGTCCAACCCTGTCGTCAAGATGGTGGCCATCTGGGTCTTTGCCTTCCTCCTCTACTGCCCGGCTATCCTCTTCTGGGAGCATGTGGCCGGCCACAGCGTGGTAGCGGCGGGTCAGTGCTACGCCGAGTTCTTCAACAACTGGTATTTCCTCCTGTGCGCATCCACCCTGGAGTTCTTCGTGCCGCTGCTCTCGGTGACCTACTTCCCACAACATCCAGAGGCCCCCGCGGCACGGCAGCACGAAGGACTGCGAGCCTCTAAGGAGCGGCAGCCTGGCCTGGGGATTTTGCCTCTTGCCGGCGCCAGGAGCATCTTCTCCTCCATTGGAAGCAGAAGACAGTGTTTCTTCCTCCACAAGGCCAAAGAAAGAGTCTTTGGTAACTGAGAGCTCATCTCCAACCAGAGGCAATTCTGTAACCCCAGAAAAGGACTTCTCTGTTTCTTTCTGTTCAAGGACTGGGTCAAAACTGCAGCGGGACAAGAAAATAGCGAAGTCGCTTGCCATAATTGTGTGTGTCTTTGCCGTCTGCTGGGCCCCATACACTTTACTAATGATTATTCGTGGGGCCTGCCAAGGAAAGTGCATCCATAACTCCTTGTATGAAATAACCTTTTGGCTTTTGTGGCTCAATTCCTCTTTGAATCCATTTCTCTACCCTCTCTGTCATATCAGGTTTCGAATGGCTTTCATGAAAATATTATGTCCCAAAAAGTTTGCAACATTGAGATCACGTAACACATCTTAGTTTTAGAGATTTAAAATAAATGACTTAGAGATAAGAGGTTCCTCTCTTATTTAGTGCTATTTTTTTCATACGTATCATCAATAGAAACAGAGAAATACTTTTGTTTACTAATGGCATTGGTTAAGAGTGCAGCAGAGGCATGCATTTGGCCTGATTTTGGTAGTTTTCAGGATTTTGTTTTTGGTTTTGCTAGCATGATGCCAAGTTAAACACCATCTAGTTCAATGAAAAGAATAACAAGTTTTGCTGGATGTCCTTCTTGGTTTGTGGGTTTGAAGTACTTTTCTTTTCTTTTTTTTTCTTTTTGTTTTTTTTTTTTATATAGAGCTGGTACTATGAAAGAACTCTTCTATAGGATCTCCATAGAGGTCCATTGGAGGGAGATACCTATTTATGTATGTGTTGAATTAAAATTTATATCCTGTTTGTGAACTTAAAGCTACCAGTGAAGAAGCAGTTCTGCTACATTTTTGAAAGGTTGTATAAATACTCACAGAAGCAGTACAATTTCATTTTAAAAACTACTATGAAGGCAAGATAGTGCCCTGTAGCCGTTATAATTCCCACAGTGAGCAATATGCAAGTGAATGGACTGCCTAATCCGGCATATCAGTCCTTTTCTAATTTTAATATAGTCCATGCCCGGTGTTGCAGGACGAAGAACACGTAAGTTAGTTATTCTGGTTGATTTTCAGAGAATGACAGTTTCCGTGGTAATGGAATTTTAAGATCGGTTATCAAAATTGTCACAGGCATAAATGGTTGTTACTCTTTTCACCAGTACTGTCTTTTCTCCTGACAGTGGCTGCCTCTTTGGTCATGTTTAAATGATATTTAGTGCCAGAATTGTGCACTATTTGATTACCTAATAGATATGCCAGGCTTGGGCACATGATCACATTCCTGTTGAATTAGCAGAGCAAGCAAGACAAAGTTCATGCTGGATTTATGATTTTGGCTGGCTGTGCAAGAATAGACAATACCCTCTTGGGTGTAAAGCTTTGCAACTGCAAAGATATTCCATCAAAACGTCTGGAACAAATTTGAACTGACAGAGTGATTTTTATACTAGATCAGTTCTTTGTGTCCTGTTACTGTGACATTATATAGATTTTCTCTGCCACTGAACCAGTATCAAACTGGATTTTTTCTATCACTGAATAAGGGCCACATTCACTGCTTGAGAATGGGATTCACAGAGGTCTAGCTGAAAGCTGACACAGAGGTGTCTTAAGCAGTTATTAATAAACAACGCGGGTGAATATGCAGTGCTGAAAGGAGTGGGTGAAGGCAATGGAGCTTGATTATAACCCATTCCATGTACCAAACTTTCTTGCCTTGTGTTGGGTGTTGTAACTCACCCAGAATGCTTTCATGGATGGGTAAGTGAGAGTCACTGGTTAAATTTTTTTCTCTCCTTTTATATGATTTTCTTTCCTCTTTGTATATATATAGAAATGTATAAAATATGGAAAGAGAAATCTGATGCAGAGAACGATGAAGAGCAATAGTCAGTTTAAATAGTATTTTTTATCTAATTTGAAATTGGCTGTAGAAGTGTTGCAAAAGCAGAGGACTCCTTTGCAAGCACAATTCAAATGCATGTAAGCAGCTTAATCATGACACAAAAGTCGATGGCTTTGAGGAGCTAAAATGCCGTTCTGTTCAGAAGTCTGGAACTGAAGACTTCTCTTGCCAGTTTTCAGGCTGGTGGAAGATTGTCTTTCACCACTCATTCTCGTTATGCTTCCTTGCCTCACATGGATAGCGTTATGGATTGTGAGCCTGATTGCTAAGAGAGATACAGCTTCAGGAGGAGGCCATTGATTCAGCACAGCTGTTTTCACTGTCTTGAGCTAAGGTGCTGGCATAGATTTTGTGGGGGTTGTTTTTCTGTGAGGCTTAAAAAAACCAAACACACACACACACACATTTAAAACACTTATAGAATAGCTGGTGTACTAAATAAACATCTTTTAAACAGAGAAACTGTAAGTAGGCCCAAAAAGGGAAAGTATTTGAGTCGTCTGCTTTTCTATCCCTATCCTTTTAGTATAAAAATTCAGTTTGCATTTTGTAGTTAAAGAATGTGTTATTTACTTTGGAAAAATGGCCTACAAAATTATTGACTAGGTAAACTGTGTCCACATTTTGCAGTACTGGAAAAATAGGGTTTGTCAGGGAGCACAATGTGCAGCAAATTTGAAACCACGTAGCGTAGTGAAACTACTAGGGACCAATGGTTTTGATGTTCTATATCAACACACACAGAGTTCAAACTGTTTTGTCACACCACTCCTGTGTATTGGAAGAATTTGTTGTATTTTTCTAATTGTTGAAAATTCTGCTCAGTGCTCCCAGGCTAAGTCAAGCACTTAGCTGCTGTGCTCACAGATTTAAAGCTGTCTTGGTCAAGGTGGCATCCTAAGTCTTCTCCTCCCTATCAGACATTTTGCAGGGTTATGGTAAGATACTTATTCAGCATCTGTTCTTGGGCGTACCTTTCACGAATTGATACAAAAGGACTTTGCTTGCCAGAGTGATTTCTAAGCCAAGTCTCTCTATCCACTCACTCATCCATTTCACCATTTCATGTCTTGAGTTTTCTTCTGTCTTTGCAGATGTCCTGTAGGTCTTGTAAATACATAGTGACAGTAGTCATATGACTCTGTGAGGTTCAACTCAAACCACAACAGTGTTTTTCTAACTTGACCTTCTCAGTTCTTAAAAAAACTCAAACAAATAAAACATACATGTTGGAAGAAATTGTGTTATCTTCTGTTTGTTTGTTTGTTTGTTTCTGGGATCAGTATTTAACCCTAATGATTCTCCTAATGTCTGTCTCCTTTATGTTAGGCTACGGTTTTTCTCCACAGGAAGGAAGGAAGGAACGACCACATAGATTTATCCTTAGGTCCGTAAAAGACTATGATTAAAACTTCAACATTTGATTTATTCCCTAATTTTTAAAAGCAAATGATTACTCTCCCCTTGTCCACTAATCTAGTCATTTTATCAAAGAAGACAACCAAGTTGCTCAGGCATGATTTGGTAAACCCATGCTGACTGTTCCCAGTCATCTTTTCCTTCCTCAAGTTCTCAGAAACACCTACCAAGAGGACTTGCTCTATTATTTTCCCAGGGACCAAAGAGAGGCTGACCTTTTGTCCTTGTGGCATCATTTGAAGATGGTTGCAACATTTGCCTTTCTTTGGTTGTTAGGAACCTCCCTTCATCTCCATGACCTTTCAAAGAGGATAGAAAGTGGTCTTGCAAGGATGGTAGCTGGTTCTCTCAGCAGCCTTGGATGCAGCCCATCGGGTCCCATGAACTCTTACGGGTCAAGTCCTCTCAAGTAATCATAGAATCATAAAATCATTAAGGTAGGAAAAGACCTCTAAG